TGATGGTGATGATATCAGCAGCGTTTACACTGGAGACCCAGAGCTCATTCGCTGGCCAGCAGCTGGCCGCTTCTGGTGCTCCAGAGCGGAGCATGATGTGGCCCATTAATTGCAGCATTTGCACTGAAAGGAATGTGACTTTGGCCAAATGGGCAAACTCTAGTCCTCGAGACTGCCAAATAAATTATTTTTAAAAACCTTAAAGTCAGCCTGGATGGTTTTCAAACAATCGTGGTCTGGGGGCCTATACTTCCCCCAAATGATAAAATCCCAAATGTGTTCCTTCTGAGCTGTAACTTGATATATAAATGATTTGAAGACAGTGAGAAACACTGATCCCAAGCAAGACGAGGAAAGAGAGCATGGGAAGGAACAGGATCTCAGGCTTATCTGTACGCAGTACCGAGAAGAGTTTGCCCCTCTTATTTAGAGAATGACCTTTGACATGTCACCCTTCCTGGCCCTGCCTAGTCCTTCTACCCAGAGATTAGATGAATATGTCTCAGCAGCCTTTGCCTACAGAACACTTTGTGAGCATTAGACCCAGGGATCCATGCAATGTGTAAATATCATAAAATGTGGCAGGAGAAATGTTTACACCGAGTTGTGGTTTCTGATCAAAGCCAAAATGGTTGGGTCCTTGAATGAAAACTCGGGGCTGCACATGTGAGATTTGCAAGGGCCTTTGGCACCTATAAAATGCAATTTGTGGGGTGCCAAACAATGTCCTGGGGGGTCTCCAAAGCCTGCTCCTTTGGCACGGAGATCCTTTCCAAGCCAGTCTTGCCAACACGTGGCGATGTGGGTGCGTGAACTTTGCCTGAGTTCTGGGTGTATGAAGGTACAAAGGTTTTCCCAGTCAAGCCCCAAGTGCATGTGTGCCCCAGAACACCTTGCCCCTCGTTTAGAGACCCCCTCCCTCTGCCCCTAGGGAAGCCAAGTCCATCTGTTTCTCATTCGTTTACACTCTACTCATCTTAAGGTTGGTTTTAGTTGCATTTCTTTGTTTTCGTTTCAAGAGAACTTTAAGAATACAGAGCGAGGAGGCACGGGTAGCCGATCCCACGTTTCCTCTGCTCAGGTTCTAGCGTTACACAGACCACTTGCTTGGTGGCACTCAGCTTTATTTCCACCCTCTCCCACTTAACCAGTTTCTATGCATAGTTTTTAAAGGAAAAAGTTTAAAAAAAAATAAAAAACCACCACCAACAACAACAAAAAACTTCCTGCGCTCTAGCAGGGACCCAGAAGCCAGCAAACACGCTCAGCGTTTGGAAGGACTCAACTGGATTTTGTTTTGTTTTTTCTTTTTTCTCAGTTTGTGAAAGTGGGTGACTGGCTGAGAACTGTTTATTCCACCGGCTTTAGACAACAGGAATATCCTAGTCTCTTTTTCCCCCCTTTTGTCAAATATTCCTAAATAACAAAAATTTGTGATCTGTCAGAACAGCTAATGCTGTCGTTTTCTGGTCTTTGGGGGAGTCGTCATCCCTCGGGGCAGCTTTCCTCCACAGCTTTTAGTCAAATGAGCTCTGGCAAGCATTTTAAGTACTGCCAACTCCTTTCTCCCATACAGTTGGAAAGCTTTTGAAGTCGAAATAAAGGTAGATTACATCCTGTCTCCCTGTCACAGGGACAGATAGATAGCCCATGGCTGACACCGTCCTGAATGACAAGCTCATGTGCTATGTGTGTGTTGTAGCCTGGAACAGGTCCTTATTTGAAGAGTTAAGTGATTCACACTGTTGAGTTACCAAGTTTTGACGGAGGGAAACCCGTGGCACTATTACTAGATAACTAGGTAACATCCTCTAACATTGTCTAATCATGAGACAACATAACTTGTAAGTGCATTTTCATTTTACCTGGCAATAGCTTTACACATTGACATGTATTCTAGACAGGAGAGTAACAGCTGGCTATATCAAACCTACCCATGCAAGGGAAGCCTTGCTATGGTACTGAAGAAGATTCAGAAATGCTACTGAGCTGTGGCTTTAAATACTATTCAAGTGGATGGCAGCCTGGACAGGCATTGAGAACCTGTGGTTGAGATTGGTCTTCCGTAAAATCTGAGGTCACAGCCTAACATGCGTTAACTAGGCCAGTCATCAAGCCTCCTTCATAGGGAAGGCATGCCAGTGTTGCCTAGTCTGAGGGTAGGCTGGTAACTGACACTCCCCACAGCGTGATACCCTGCTGTGGCTGACTTCAAGATGTAGCTAGACTGGGGTAAAAGGAGCCCAAGGAGATTTTATGAACTGGCACGGACTGACACCAGCAGCCTGCGATCAGCAGCCCCACTTTCAGGTTGTTGGAGCATGTGATGTGCTTACCTGCTATTGTATACTTCAGTGTGCTTGCTCTCCTTGCTCGTAAAATGCACCGATGAAAAGAAAAAGCATCGTTTCAAAATGAGACTTTAAGGAAAAATACATTTATTGGTTGTATTTTTCATTTCGGAAATGGAATAAAAAAAAACCCTCACCTTGTTCTTGAGTAAATAGTATTTCATGTTCTAGACTCTCCACCAATGTGTAGGTAGGAAGCTGGGGCTCTTGGCTCATTTGCTTATTTGGAAGCGATCTCTCAAGGGCTGACACCCTGGACCTTCTGGTGCCTTCAGTTTAATTCCAGAAAGGCTCTTTGCCTTGCCACAAGCTAGTTTCCCAAGGTTATCAGAACAGCATCATAGAAAGATGCTTCCTACAATAGACACTTACTTCTAACAGTTCTGGAGGCCGAAAATCTGAGGTCAAGGCAGCATGAACAAGGTTACTCCTCAAGTTTTAGTTGATTCCAGATGGAGTCCAGTTGATGAGCAAGAATCACCATCACAGGCACCAATTCTGCTGGACTAGGGCTCTAGCGTGAATTTTGGAGGAGCACAATTCTAAGTTATATGACTACTAGTGTACCTCTTTCAGGCTGTGCATTTGGTTTTTTTGTTTGCTTGGTGTGTGTGTGTGTGTGTTCACCATAACAAATGTGTAACTTGAAGGAGCAGCATCATCTCCTCTGATAGTTCCCCAGACCAAGGATCTAACAGCAGGCATCATTAGAGCCCCTTGGCCTCAGAAGGCTCAAGGGAGGAAGTCCTTATTTCCTCAGCTGGTGGTAGCCCCAGGCATTCATTGGCTTGTGACAATGTATCTGTGGCTTTTCCTTTCATCTCCTCCTGGCCTTCCTTCCTGTGACTTTTGAAGGCAGGAGTCATTGAATTTAAGGTCCACTCAATTATGTCAAGATGACCTTTCAGGGTCCTTAGTGTCTACCAAGATCTTTTTCCAAAAAAGGCCACATTTCCAGGTGTCCAGTAGACATCTCTTTTTAGGGGACGAAGGAGGAAAAGCACAGTTCACCTTATGACGGGCTGATTAATTCATCCAATAAAATGCACAGGATGAGATTCATGGTCATAGTATTCATGATGCTAAGTGGGGAATCTTGCTTTTTATATGCTTTTCCTAAATCCGGATCAGCTCCTGCTGGCTGTAATAGAAACAGCTCCATGGCCTTCCAACACATAGAGCCTCCATCTATAATATCAAATTGTGCAACGTTATAGTTATGTAACTGGGAACTTCCACTCCCCAGCTCCTTTGAATTTTGGTGTGGCCATTAACAAGTTTTGGAAGACGGACTGTGAACGCAAGTGATGCACGTTAAGTGTTCTATTTGTTGTATGTTCTACTTTCAGAGAATGGACTGTTTGTGCTCTCCTTGTCTCTCATGGCACCCTTAGGGAAGCCACGTGAGAATGATGCCTTTAGAAGATGAAAGGGGACTGGATCCCTGAGTCACCACTTTTAGAGAGCTGCTCTGACTAAAAGGCCATTAATGAATATCCTAATGAGACTTTGCATGAGCAAGAATTAAACTTTTATTACGTTGAGCCACTGAGATGTGGGGATCATCTGTTATAGCAGCTAGCTTATCCTGACTCGTATGCTTGCTGGCACAATATGTGCACAGAAACACCCATTTTACAGTGAAAGTATACCGTTCATTCAGAAGATACCACCATGTGATCTTGGCAAGCAAGGAACTGGACACAAAATGACATTAGCTCGAAGAAATCTTTGACTCTCACAAATTGGTCTTACCTGAAAATACTACAAAGAAACATGAACCATTTTTACATAACTTATCTTAATCTTACAAGGACCGGATCATTGCTTGCTATCCCTAGACAAGAAGTAAGAATTAAGAGCAACATTGATTGATTATTAATGATTTAGAGAGTAAAAATGCTGTGAGAAAGAATCTGACTTTTAAAAACACGCAGATGAATCTGTATTCAAATTCCTGCCATGGTGTATATGATGGCCAAAGGACAGCTAGCAGTAGTCACTTCTGTCCTGTAGGGCCTGGGGATCAAACTCAGGTCGTCAGACTTGGTGGCAAGGGCCTTTACTGGCTGAGCCACCTCAACAGCCCCATTGGGTGATGTTTCAGATTTGCTTTTATCATTTCTATCCTGGCCCTAATGATTTAGATAATATTCTAATTACCATATTCTATTTCTAGATGGAACTTGGAGGCCAATGAGTACTTCTATGGGTTCTATTTAGTGTTTTGTTCACTACTCTGTCTTAAATGCTAAGCACATAGTAGCTGATCAATGAAAATATGAAAAAGTAAGCATCTTTAGTATATATAGAACTGGGAGACTGCAGAGATGGTTCAGAGGTTCAGACCAGTTGCTACTCTTCCAGAGGACCTGGGTTCAGTTCCCAGCACTACCTAGCAGCTTACGACCACCTGCAGCTCCCGTTATAGGGTATCCAACACCCTCCTGAGGCTTTTGCGGGTGCCAGGAGCACATTTGGTGACATATGTATGTGTAAACAAACACACAAATAAAATAAAAATAATCTTCAAAAAATAATAAATGTAGAACTGAATCAAAGGCGAATATGAAGACTTCTTAGGCCTTAAGACTTAGTGTGTTTGATAGAACCCAGATAAGCTGATAATTTTACCTACATGTTCTTGCTTTGAAGGGATTAAGTATGTGAATTACATGGGGAGAGCAGGAGACCAGGGTCCGGAGCCTTATGATGACACCCATCTCTGCTATTCTTCCTGATTGGAAATACAGTTTTCGGTGCCTTGGCCAGGAGCAGGGGTTTCAAAGTCTCTACTGGGACTTTTTCTTTTTCTCTTTCCAGTTGATTTTCTTGAGTGTTGTCATAACAACCAAAAGCTGAAGAATACAGAAAGGAATTGACTGCCCAGGGCACAAAAGAACTTTTGACAATGATAGAAACAGTTTAGATCTTAGTGGTATTTTCATGACTGAACCTACAAAAACATATTGTACACTAAAAAAAATGAGTGAAGGTTATTGTGTAAGTCATATCTCAGTGTCAATTAAAAATGTTTCATATAAATCTAAAATTTATGAAGTCATATTCTCTTGCTCAGTTCTTAGATTCAAGCCAGTATACTATTAAACTAGAATTCATAGCCAAAAGGCACAGCCAGGTCCCCAGGAGGGAGAAGCACATCGTCCATACACTCAACAAGATGTGCTAACAGCCCTCTAGATGTACAGGTGATACAACTGGAATTAAAGGGGAGGAGAGGAGGGCCCATTAGCCTGTATACAGTTCCCATATCATCTCCCATGGCCTTAGCTTCCTCCTCTCACCTTGCACCTGTGATTTCACACAGAGTGTATCAGGACCAGTTGACACAGGAAGAAAAAGTTGAGCTTGCTTGTGAATGGGTTGGCTTAAAATATGGCTCTATGGGGAGGAATCTTTGTGGTGAACACGGTGATGTCATCTAGCTTTCCCTTTGGATGGTAAGGGACGTGTCCAAAGGAAGAATATATACTGACTCATGGGCAGTTGCAAGTGGGTTAAATAGTCAGGGGACGGGAGGAGTGATTAGAATCATGGGGCCAGCAGATGCAGGGAAGGGGACCATGGATGGACTTTTGCAATGAGCCAGTGTGAAAGGATTTGCACTACATTTTAGTATTCCTGAACATTAACCATAAAAACAAAGAAAAACCTGAAACAACCAAACAAGTGGAATCCTTTGCCAGTGATGATCACCCAGCGTCTGCCTTTGGTTCTCCCAGGGAAAGCACAGTGCTTTCTTGAGCAGTTCAGCTACAGAAGCTCTGCATGGTCCCTAGCACGTGGTTTTCTACTCCTCAAGACTGATTCAGCACTTGCTGCTGGCTCTAGATGCATGCTAGCAGAGAAAGTACTCAGGCCTGCCTCACAAAAACCAGTCACTTGATGCAAATTGTTTACATCAGTCTCTTTCCAGCTGGGTTTATCCTGATTCAAATCAGCACATATTTTAGAAACGAACATCTTTCTTAACCCAACAGGCTTCATTTAAGCTTTTATGACTTACTGTTTGACCTACAAATATGAGATCATTGCTGACACATTAGACTAGAGACCAAATTTACACTGACGAAAGTATGTCAGTGGTAATATGGGGGGCACTGACCCCATCACATACTGCAGCATTCAGAAGCCCCTAGTTAGGCAGACAGATAAAATAACTTTTTGAAAGTATAATTCAGATGTCAGCTTTGGAATAATCTTACAAGGATGAGATGCCATCTTCCAGGATGCAAGACATGTTTATGGTGGGGCTAATTGACGCTGGGAATTAGGTAGATTAGGTGCAAGGAAAAGTGCTTTGGGTCCTCTGAGTTGTCTGTTGGTACTCCCCTATCTAGTGTGGTCAGTTGGGGGCAGGTAAATAATTAAACAGCCATGGACTAGAAATCATGCCTGGAGCTAACTGTCTCATCAACCTTCATACTGTAAGTTTCCACAGAAGAATAAAGGAGCTATTCCCATGTGGGGTGCATTAATAGGGAAAGTGAGTTAGTATGCATTCTATGAGTTGTATAGTGCACTACCTAACTTCATCCTCTTGAAGACATCGACACTCATCTTCCCGGCTGCTCCAATACCACTTACCAGCAGTCTGCAGGTGAATTCTTCTTCTCAGCAGAATAAGGATACATTTCAGGGCACACTCCTCCCTGGGGTACCTCATGTTCAGTGACTGGTCATTATGGGGGTACAAAGGCACAGCTTTCTACCTCAACTCAGAAAAACATCCAAGGAATGTTTCAGTTCCAGAATTCTTTTTTTTTTTTCATGACAGGATTTCTTGGTGTAGTTCTGGCTGTCCTGGAACTCACTCTGTAGACCAGGCTGGGCTCACACTCAGAGATCCACCTGCCTTTGCCTCCCGAGTGCTAGAGTTCCAGAATGCTTTATGGGAACTATGTTGATGTCCTGTCTGCTTGACTGTCCCAGTCTCCCTACTTACAGATAATGTTTCTGAGAATATCCCCTTATGGAAGTTGTCACAAGGGCACAGAGCTCTTCAAATGAGACACAACCATAGGGAAAAGAAGAAACAAATAAACAACAAGAAAATTTCTATAATCTATCATTGATCTATTAATAACTCAGTATTTCACTTGAACCTCTTTTCTATGAATGTATATATACATACTATATAATTTCTGTTGTGTACATTGTTTTTATAGCTTACCTTTTAAATTTCATATATTGTGAATATTTTAGCCATTCTTCTTTAGCATTCCTCTTAAGTTGCTGTACAATTCATACTATGCTATGCCAAGGTTCCACTGTGTGGTCTCCGACCTTGTCAGTATTGTAGACAATGCCGTGATTGTCATTGAATCAGACTCACATGGCTGTAACAAAATGTTGATGCAATTCACTTATAAATAGAGAAGATTTGTTTGGGTTTATGGTCTTGGAGATTCCTGTCCAATGACTCTGGGCCTCTGGGAAGAGCAGCACACATGACAGAGTAAACCACCTACACCACAAGCCAAAAGACAAGAAAACACGGACTGGAGCCCCATGGTCCCTTGTCATGCTCCTGAAGATCTGCCATTGGTCCCTACCTCTGAAAGGCCAACCGCACTTCCCAATACTGCCAGGCTGGTGACCAACACTCTCACTTTTGGGCTTTTATAAATGTCTAATATCCAAATACAGCATTTATTCGTGGAGCTAAGTTTCTGCCCATTTGTGGGTGGTTTTTCTTTTTTCCTACAAATGTAGGATATGATCAAAAGCTAAGGGCATATTATCTGTCTATAGCTATGTTATATGTGGATACAGAAACAGGTGTGTGTGTGTGTGTGTGTGTGTGTAATTCAAACCATACTCCAAGTAGATCACATGGTTATATCTTTAAAATCTGCATTATCTAGATTTTCCAGTGTGTAGTACTGGAGTCTAATATGTTGACAAAGAGGATTTCAACACATTTATCCCTTCTAATCCTTCACGGGTTGTAGAGGCCCCATTTACAAGGTTTCTCAAAGTGAGGGGGATTCTATTACCAGTACTTCACCTAAGATGTGGACATACTGTGGCTTTTAGATTTCTTCCCATTTTTACATTATTATTTCGATCAGGAAGGGATACAAGACTCTTCCCCGTTTTTATAGACATAAACTTCTAGTCCCCACTGATAACCTGTACCTTTGTATTTAAATAATTTCCAAATTTAAAATCATTGCCCGGAACTCTACTACTCTTCCCCAGAAGGGACAACTGTGGGGTATGAAAAAGGAGAGAAGACACACGAAGCCAGAGGCAGGGCCCTCGATCCAATTAACGGACATCTTGGAGGAGAGCATGAGTAATTGGTTTTGAGGTTGTCCCCTGCCTCTGAAGGACAGCCGAGGTGCTCATCAAGATGTGCCAAATGTTTATAGACGGCCTCTTTTGGAGGAATATCTGTTTTAAATAAGGGAATTTAAAGGGGCCTGTAACTCACTTAAATCACACCAAGATGGGAGACTGGAGACAGGATATGGCTTCCAGTTGAAATTCCTTGATCTCTGGCTTAGTCTTAATTTTATAGATAACGAAAGCCATCACTGGAAGAACTTTAACCACTTGTGTCCAAATCGTATTCAGATGGGATGCAGGCTTCCGGCTCTCCCCACGCTTATTGGTCCAGAACCATTTTCATCTGAGGCAAAGACTCAGTGTTTGTTTGCCCAATGAGCACATACAATCCGGGGCTTGCAAAAACTCCCGAGTGTCTTCCCACCGGGAGAAAAGCTGAACCGTTGAGCGTTGGTCCCTTGTCATTGACACTCCAAGCCCATGCTGCTGACCACTGAGTCCTGAGAGGTCAGCCACAGTTCTTCCTTGACTGGGCCTCCCTTTCTTCCTGCAGGGTGGGCCCAGCTCACAAGTCCTGCCTGGGTTTGGACCTGTCCTACTGTACGAACAGTGAGATGTCACTGCACTTCCTGTTTGGCTGAGGTACTGGGGAGATGCTGGCCCTCGCAGAGATCACGCAGGACTTGGTCACGGAAAGCAAGTAATGAAACCAGCTCCGAATAAGGAAAATCAAAGGTGTGTACACGCAAGGAGAAACACCAGCCAGGAAGTGAGGAAGGAAAGATACAGGGTAAGGACCAAGGAAAGATGGTGTCTAGACAGCGTGTGCCGCTAAGCAGGTGTATGAGCTTGGACAATTTATTTACTTTTCTAGGGCCTTGATCTGCCGGTGTTGGTAAGTGAAGGGCTCAGACCAGAGTCAAGAAAATCATTCCTTCTTCAGGTGCCAAAGTTCCCTAATTTTATTTTAAATTCATGTTGAAAATTTTTTTAAATTATTAATTAATTAACTTTTGGTGCTTTTCTTGCTGGAACTGTGAGCTGTTTTTTTCTGGGTTTTCAATCTTAATGACTCTCTATGACTGCTCACTTCTAAACTCCCCCTCCCCTTTACCCCCTTAACCTGTAAACAGCATCTCCTTCACCACAGTGTTGTTCAGACTCCACAGTTGGGTGGTGACCAATGGCCTCTGCCATGCCCTTCCCGTGGCCCAGGGATCACACGGGGCTTACTCTCCTCTGCTTCGGTCCATACCTTCTGTCTTGGCTCCCTTCCTTCCTCGACTGGTTTTTAGGAAAGAAGGCAAAGCCCTTAACCCTCTAGCTGCCTTTCCGCTGCCTCTCCCTAAAAATCTCAGGGTCAAAATGCTGGTGAGCCCTGATTTCATGGTCCATAATCCTACCGAAAGTCAAGGTCACTTAAAACCTCCTCTCCAGCTCCTCGGGGAGGTGGTGTGTGCGCCCCTTCTCTGCTGTGGTGTGGAGAAAGCGCCTTACTTAGGATTGTCTCTGTTCATTGTTTCCAACTCGCTGCACCCCTGTGCTTACTGAATCCAAGCCAACGATTCCCAGAAGCCGAACCCGCGCGTTGTAAACCCTGGTTTTGGTGGGTCTGCCACTTCGTTTGATGCTACTAACCATTCTCTGATGTGCTCATGGCTTCTGTTTTCTCCATCTTGGCATTCTCTCCCTACTTCATCGACAGTTTCTTCTTCTCCTTTGCGAGTTCCTCCTTACCTCCTCAGACTTGAACACCAGACTGTACAGACTCCCTGGACCACCTCTCTTCCACAGAAGCCACTTCCTGGATGACAGCACCCAGCTTCCGGCACTTGATCTTGTCTGTACTCCAGTGATATCCAGATATACGCCCCCAACCCAGATGTTCCCCTTACCTCCAGACTCACTAACCATCTGTCAACATGGTTATTTTATAATCTCAAACTCTGTGTCTGTGACTGAACCTGTTCCTCTCTAGTAGCCCCCACCTCAAAGACACTGGTGACTCCATCCCATCAGTTACTCAGGCTAAAACTCTTGGGGACATTTGTAGGAACTTTTACTTATATCCTCTTCTATTGATATCTTCACTTTCAGAATATATGCAGAGTACATCCATATCTTTCCACCTCTGTTGCCATGGTTGAAGCCCTCCGGGTCTCTTGGTTCTTATCTTACAGTAACCAGTGATACAAACAACCCAGCAGACAGCATGGTCTTTAAAATTGTAAGCCAAATTACAGTTCTCCTTTCAACTACCCTCTTGTGCAAGGGTTTCAACCTATGGGTTGAGACCCCTTTGGAGTGGTATATCAGATGTCCTGCATATCAGATATTTACATTACAATTTAATAACAGTAGCAAAATTATAGTTATGAAGTAACAATGAAATAATTTTATGGTTGGGGTCACCACAACATGAGGAACTGTATTAAAGGGTCGCAGCTTTAGGAAGGTTGAGAACCACTGTTCTAGTGCTTTTTTTTAAAAAAAAATTCTGCCTCAGAATAAGTTTTCAAGTTTACAATGATCTACAAATGTTCTAAACATTCTGCACACTTTCCCCTTTAATACCTCCCTCGGTTCTCTACACTGATCCTCTTTGCTCCATAGCAACTAGTCTGGCCTTGGTGCACCATTTTGGTCTCAGAACCTTTGAGTAACCTGTTCCCTCAGCTTGGTATGCTCCTCTTTCATAGCTCACTACTCCTTGTACCCTGTCTCCTCCATTCTCTAGAAGAAAAACTTCACGAGGCAGAGGTGTGGGGAGCAGAGGAAGTCCTGAGTGAATATGTCTTGTTGACATGAGCATAGCCTTGCCAAAGACCCTGGTGCCTCAGGCCATGGGAATGGCAAGACCTTCCCCTGGTCCAAGTACAGAGGTTGACAAACCATTGACCTTTAGCTAAAACCAGTACATGAAGAAATTATCAACCACAGTGACCTCTTCCAGGACGACTGTAGCCTGTGACTGCTCCCCTACTGAGACTAGCCTAGCTGCCTCCTCTTACATTCTGTGTGTAGTAAATTCACCGAGTTTTCCGGTCACTGCTGGAGTGTCTCTATCAGTGCGCATGTCCCACCCAGTCCCAGCTTTTCTGCATACGTGTCTGCAGTTTCTTTACTTCCTGCTGCCCAAGTCAAGTCAGTCCCAAAGCCATGCAGATCAGAGATCGCCACACAGAGGTGTCTTCTGTGTTCTTCATTGCTAAGTTCCCAGTGCCCACTTCTGGGGTTGGTGTATAGTTGAGTACACATGTACACAGACGTGTGAAGAAATGAGGAGGATTTCAGCTCGTTCCTGTGGGGTTAGGCAATTTTCTATTGGGCAAAGGAAAAAGGAGGACCAAGGGTTTGGTCTAGCTGGGAGCCATGTTCCCTGACCTGTGAATATGCTGAATCACAGGGACAGCAGAGCTTAGACGAGAGACCAGCTAGTGCTACCACTCACAGAGGTAAATTCTCACATGCTGCTGTGGGGAGGCAGGGATGCCCAGGGCTTCTGTGAGACCGAAGACTCCTCCTACTCCAGTTCATTTGCATACCCTTACTCATAATCATGCAGTAACAATGCACACTTGCCTAAAGATGGCTTCTGAGATGCACACATTCCCAATATCAGCTGGGAGAAATCCAGAAACCACCACCCCAGTTGAAATCTGTGCACCAGTCATCTTAATATTCCCTTACCAATGGCAGTCCAAGGACATACGGATCTGGACACTTGGTAGCATATTGTTATTTATAAGCCTAGAAGTCTGGTCAACTAGCCTAAGTAAACAAGAAAAAAAGAGTCCTGGGCTCTGAGCACGTGGAAGGCAAACGGGAGTTTTGAGGGACAGCTAGCTGGGGGAGCCCAGATGAAATTGACTTTGTGTGTGTGGCTCAGATTTCTCTTTCAGATTCCTGGGCTGGTTTCATTCTAAAACACACTCTCTGCCGACGATGGCAAAGATATATGTCAGGTGATTCTGAGCTAATGTGGGCTATGTCCCTATCACAATTCCCTTACAGTAGCAAGGGAAAAGTTACCAAAGAGGGCCAAGCCAAGCAAATGCAAAGTTAACACGACTGTTCTTCTCTTGGTGGCCATTTGGGAGGTTGACTTATTCAAAAATTTGAAATGTGTTTTTGTTTCCTTGAAGCCAATGACATGGTCCCGTCTTTCTAAACCCAGCTGGCTTCTATTACCGAGTTTCTTAGAAGCCCATAATGTTTTATTTCCTCTGCAACTCTTTCATAATGTTATTGTTCCTAATAGCATTGATGAGGATTTGGGAGCTTTAGAGCAAACACAATTGAGATGCTGGTTGGCCCCTTTGGTGGCTCTGTCATGAGCTGCTGAAAATTATGCAGCGAGTCAAGCCGTGTGGTCTCCCCTCCAAACAGGCCTCACACCATCCTTTGGCCAGAGGCAAAACTTAGTAGACTTCTACTCCGGAGTGTGACACAGCTGGAGAACAAACTCATAACTTAGGGTATCCAAAGGCTCCCCCTGCGTTTCAGCAAGAAGTTTGAGACCACTTGGCATGAGCCCTAGACATGGGTCGAAGCCGTCATCTCTAGGTCTGTTTGATCCAGGGAGTGGGATGGGAATCCTGACCTTATTCTTTGAGAAAAATGGGTCGTTGTCATTAGAAAGTCACTTTTCTGCTCTCCCTGGGGAGCTCTCGATGGAAACTCTAAGGAGCTGAAGGAAGCAGAGACAATTCAGGTTGATAGCCTCCAGCAGAAAAACAAATTCTGCTGATTTTAGTAGTAAATCGGTTTGTGAGCAAAATTCTAGGTGGCTTACAGGATCGCTGGGGCGGGCGACAATTCCAGCCCGGAAAATTGTCAGGGGCATAATATCTGTTGTGGTTTGGACTTGGAATGGTCCCCCGTTTGTGATGCTCCCCTGAAGGCCGTGGAGTCTTGACTGGGTAGATCCTGGCTGGAAGGAGACATTGGAGTAGGCTTTTAAAGGTGATTACCCACGTCTAGTTCTAAGCAATGTGGTCTTGGCTACCCCATGACAAGCAGTAGCCTCACGGTCCAGCCACTGCTGGCCACTGACAGAACCCCTGGGCATCCATATCCATACGTTTCTTGCCACAAGAGGCCGACGTCCTCTAAAACCATGGGACAAAATACATCTTCCCTCCTTTAGTGCTTTTTTGTACCAGGTATGTTTGCGTAACGGTGAGGAGAGCAACGAATGCATATATTATGGGTTGAATTATTCCCTCTTCACAGCGATCAACTCTTCATCCTGGACCTATGAAGACGATGGTGCTAAGAAAAAAACGGGTATTTGACCATGTGCTCTAGTTAAAGTGTGGCCACAGGCTTCCTAATATAGTGGCTGGTGTGAAGATGGAGGCAGAGGTTGGAGTTACCATGCCCTGTACCAGCTGCTGGAAATCAACAACAGCCAGAGAGGCTTCGATCATCGAGGCTTCGGACGGACATGTGTCTGCCAACTTGATTTAGATGTTCTAGCCTCTAGAAGCAAATCCATGTTTGTTCTCTGGCGATATTCAGTTGGAGGCACTTTGCTGTGGTAGCTAAGAGTCCTCAGAGTTCCACCTAGTCACGTCTGAGGAAGATGCCAGAACTGCCCCTGGGGCGGTCAGTCACTTTCCTCAGGATGATATCCCTATTTACCTCACTTCCTGTTTTTAGACAGGAGTGTCTACCTGTCTGAAGTGGGGGGTCACACACCTAATCTAGACCTGCTGACAAGAGGAGAGAAGGCACCAGTCTGGCCTTTCAGGGTGGGGGTGGGGGTGGGGGTGACACAGCCGGCCTTGGTAGGTAAGCAGCTTCAGGTCCTTGGCGAGGAAAACAAGCCCACAGACAAACACAAACCCGAAAACTATGTCCCCGCAACAGATATATTAGTTATGCTTCTTCTCACCATGACAAAATACCCAATAGAATACCCGAGAGAAGCACCTTAAGGAGGTAAGGGCCTGTTTATGCTCTCAGTTCCAGGGGATTCGTCCATCATGGTGGAGGAGGTGTGGCAGCGAGGGTAGGGACGCAAGGTCACATTCTATCCTACCAGGAAGCAGAGGATGATAGGGGCTTGATCAGTGTGCCTTCTCCTCTCTAGTCCATTCCATGGAATGATACCACCCACATTGAGGGGGCACCTTCTCCCTCAATTAGCCTAATGTAAATCCCTCACAGCTGTGCCCCGAGACTCAATTTTATGATGATTCTAAATCTCATCCAGTTGACAGTCAGAATTAATCGTCACAACGTAAACATGCAAGAAAGAAGCAGTTTAAACATGGGATAGACGGCAGATAGTAAAAGCGAGGTTGAAGTTTGCAGATAATTTTTTTTTTTGACACACACTAGAGAGATTACAAGCTTTTTGTTGTTTTCAGGTCCCTGCTAGAAGGCCAGGACTGTATAGGTTTCCATTAGGGACCTAAGGAAAGCCATTGATTGCCCAGACATCTCTGCAAAAGACGAGGCAGGGATGTGTTAATGCAGATGCTGTGCCTCCACAAGCCTGGGTAGACCCTGAGAGGGCCAGGGGCCCAGCACTGCACCGAGAGAGTGTGACTGACTCCAGAGCAGGCTCTGGGGCCGAGCCTCGGCTCCTCTGCTTCTCACTGGGCCTTGGTGATAACTTTATCTTTTGAAGTCTCAGTTTCCCCTCTAGCCAAATGGGGCTAATAATAGTGATATCGCAGGGTTTCTGCAGGGTTGAAATGACTTGCATCCCAGAAGCACTTCACCCAAGCCTGGCTTGCAGGAAGTGTGCAGTGTCAGCCGCATCCCTTCCTGAGTGCTGAGCTTCGGAAAGATTATCTTTATCTCTTTTGGACTATTATTTCAAAGCACAGAACTCATTAAAACCCAAAAGCTGTAACCAGAGAACAGAAGTTTTCTTTTTAACACTTTTCTTTTACCGTGTGCTGGGATTGAGGGTAGCTTAAGCGTGTTCTCCCAAGAGCTTCCGTGTGGTAAGATTGGTTCTCATGTGGAACTGTTAATGGGAGGTGGGACTTGTTCTGAGGCCCTCAGATCACAGAGGGCCTGCCTTCACTAGCCTCCTACCCGTGGTCCTCCGGCTTCTCATCCCATCATGAAATCTCTTCCTTTTGCACATCTCCCAGCCTTGACGCCATCCATCACAGAGTGGATCCAACGAGGACCCGTGCCATGATGCTTGAACTTTTAGTCTCCAAAGCTGTGAGCTAAATAAACCTCTCTTCTTGAAAAGTTACCAAACCTTAACTGTTTTTGCTATAGTTATGGAAAACAGACATGCCTGAGCTACACGAAGGAGAAAATACATTACATGCTTTGCCTTTCAGATATATTACCAGGAAACACAGATGGTCCTGGGCCTCTTGGGATGGTCCTACAAGGAAGGCTTTTCATGTATGAGATACTCAGCAAATGTTTGCTACGTGTACTAGGTAAATCAAGCAAGATGCCCTCTCTTTACATGTCAGATTGCCAGCTGTGTTCTCGTCTCTTTCTGGGAGTTGCTGATTCATATGTGGCTTATACTATGTTGTAACCCAGTATGAATCAAATTCCAGTCAAAGGAAACCAATTCATAAATTTACTCTGCTCTAGGGTAAACAGGTGGCTTTGTGTAAATATATAGTCTTACTGGGGATAGCCTCTAGTGTATGGTGACTTATTGAATTAATCAACTCTGCTTCTTGTGGGTATAGTGGAGGCATGCATGCCTACACACTCAGAGGCCAGAGAAGGATGTTGGGAGTCCGGCTTTTTCCCTCTCTCCCTTATTCTCTTGAGACAGAGTCTCTTCCTGAACCTGGCTAGACTGGCAGCTAACAAGTCTTAGCAATCCTCCTGTCTCCACTCCTTACTGCCCTGAGCTCATAGGTACGCATGAGGCCACATGTGATTTTTCAGCTGAGACTTGAACTCAGGCATGCATGTTTGTGTAGCATGCCTGAGCTCTTACCCACTGAGCCATCTCCCCAGCTCCAATCCACATCTAAGAAATATACATTTGAACCGGTGGGAAGCCCGTGGTTGGTGCTGGGAACGGAGATAAAAGGTGTTCTCGGAGGGAAGCCGCCCCGTAGCTCCATAGGCAGGTACTTGCCGTAGAGGGAGAGTTAAGGAGGCGATACTATGCAGTTGGCAGGGGAAATAGAGAAGCATTTACAACTGCAAGCTGCACGCCCTTACTGTAATAACTCAGTGAAATAAATGGCGACGTCACTCCCTGGCTGCACTTGAGGACACAGTGACCAGTGGAAGACCTATGGTAGACACAGCCAAGTTGGAGGTTCCCTTCCACACTAGCAACTGAGTCAGTCAGAGCTGTCCTGACCAGCCGGGCGGTGGTGGCACAAGCCTTTAATCCCAGCACTCGGAAGGCAGAGCCAGGCAGATCTCTGTGAGTTCCAGGCCAGCCTGGGCTACCAAGTGAGTTCCAGGAAAAGGCGCAAAGCTACACAGAGAAGCCCTGTCTCGAAAAAAAACAAAAAAAAGAAAAAACCAGAGCTGTCCTGGCCATTCTGTTGGAAGGCTTGCTGTGATGATGCTGTCACTGAGTATGTGCTATGATAATAAGGGCTTCGTTAAGGAAGGAAACCAGAATGACTCTTGTTCCCTAAAGCCTCGTTACTCATTGTGGGGTCCAGGCACAGCCAGTGCTGCGATCCCCTGATACTCGCCAGAGATGCGACGTTGGGGGCTCCCCATATACCTCTTGAATGAGCACAGGGTCTTTTAATAGGATCGCCATGTAACTGATGAGTGTTGAAGTTTGAGGTGTACTCCCTGGGGTTGCGCATGGCGTGCTGGTGGAGGAATATTATGCGGGGCAGCTCGTGGCCCATGAAGCTTCCCTGTGGGTTGTGGGTTCTAAACTGCTCAGTGCTAACCGGAACTACCTAGGCCTCAGGGTTCCTGAATACAATGATAGCCAGTTTGGGCTTCTTTTCTTTCTTTTTTTGGGGGGGAGGGGGGAGGGTGTGCTTTGAGATAGGTTTTCTCTGTGTTATGATCCTGGCTGTCCTAAAACTCGCTTTGTAGACCAGGCTGGCCTCAAACTCACTGAGATCTGACTGCTTCTGCTCCCTGAGTGCTGGGATTATAGGCATGTGCCACCACCACCTGACTTTGGTTTCTTTTAAAAGAAGAATCTTAAGTTTTGTGTTTACAGAAAATTTTGAGGTTTTATGTCAGTTATTCTTTTTTTGATGTTTTGTTTTGTTTTGTTTTGTTTTGTTTTGTTTTGTTTTGTTTTGTTTTGTTTTGTTTTGTTTTGTTTTTCTGAGACAGGATTTTCTGTGTAGCCCTGGCTGTCCTGAAACTCACTCTGTAGACCAGGCTGGCCTCCAACTCAAGAGATCTGTCTGCCTCTGCCTCCCAAGCCCTGGGATTAAAGGCGTGTGCCTTCACCTCCCTTGAATACTTGAGAGAAGTATTCAATGAGAGGCCCTTCAGTAGTTATTTAGAATGCCAAGTACCACCGTGGGCCCCATTAACCACCATTGCTCACATAAACCCATGCAGCTTAGGGACTGAGCACAAGAACAAGCAGCCTGTCTGATCTAATGCCCTAGCCTACAACTTCTCATTGGCTACTTTGCAAATGTAACAGTATGAACGGGAAGGACAGGGCAATACCGTCTCTCCAGGACATTACACTGTTGACATTGGCATTGAAGATTTTGCAGCCCCATTCAGAAGCCTGCCTGCCAAAAAAAGAGCCAAAGTCATGGTGATCACCCAGAATTCCACTTATGTAGAGCTTGGCCACTGCCTAGAAAGCTTTCAAATGGGGCTTAAAAGCATAATGGGTGGGAAAGCAAACCGAGTCCCAAGGTGATCTGAGTTAACTGACCTGGATCTACAAGAAACAGCTTTCTTTATTTGTTAAATATTTATCACAGGTATCTGTTTGTTTTGAAACTTGCAAAGATCACAGAAGTAAACATTCAGTTTTCTCAAGCACTTGTCCTCCAGTCTCCATCTTCAAGAGAGGCCTTGTTATCAGTCTTCTGTGCTATAATCTGTAAACGTCTAAGTGTATCCAGGGATGCCACAAACACACCAAGGTTTTTCTACATAGGAAGGGCTGGGGGTGGGGGAACAGATAGATCAGAAATAGCTGAACTACACAAAGCTTCATTTACCTGGCGCCTTGCATAAATATGCATATGTAAATTTGAGGACTGCAAGAAATAGATGAAACAGTGAATGAAACCACTAGAAAGAAATAAGAACTCCTGAGTCTATGTCAATAATAGATGGTGCATAATAAATGAATGGTAAGCAAAATCATTCAGCAATAAGCAAGAGTTGGCTGGTGAATGTACAAGGAATGGAGAGTCAGTGGAGCATCACAATCATGCTAGTGAAGATTGACAAGACTCAGCAGCCATGCCGCCTCTGCAGGGATATTTGGATGAGGACGGGGGTGTTGGACTCATCTTACAGTCTCCTCCTCTTCCCAAGGACTGCTTTTGTGTTCCAAAAGTAGAAGGGGCACACAATGACCATGTCCTTGACAATGTGAACCACCCCTCACCAAGTCATCCAAACGAACATTACCAGTGCAGTCCAGACACAATATCCAGAGAAGCATACAACACCGTCCATGCAGTTCTCAGCCTAGCTACAAGGACTAGCAGACATACCTAAAATAAGAGCATTTTACTGCAAGTGGAGGTGATGGAAGGAGAGGTGTTGACGAGGAATGCATTCTTCAACAATGCCAATGTCATAAGCCAAGAGAGGCTGTAGAATGTTCCAGATTAAAGGAGGATAGAAAGGGTTGATAATAATTAGAAAATACAAATGTCAGACCCCTGACTTGACCCTGTTGTAGAAGAGAAAAAGATCTGCCTGCTGCTGCCCAGCCCCGAGTCACCATGCCCCTCAGAAGCACCTGAAATTCCACCAAGAAGCCTTTTTTCTGCCTTGGGAACCAAGAGGTAGGGACATTCAGATGTGAGGTAGGTTATTTCCGAGACGAGAAGGAGCTATTTGCAGTTTCACTTGAGAGCCTAGAATTTTAGACCTTGTCAGTGACACAGGACCCTCTGCCCAGCTTGTGCCAATCTCAGCAAAACCTTCATCATGCCCTGCCCCCAGTGTTTTTCCATTTGTTTTGTTGTTTCCGTTTTGGTTTGAGATAGGATCTTGCTATATAGCTCAGGCTGGCCTAGTTCTGGCAGTGATCCTCCTGCCTCCTCCTCTCCCTGAAGTGATGGGATGACAGGTGTGTGCCACCCAGCCAGCTCCCCTGAGATCATTATTAAATGCCTACTAACCCCATCAGAGAAAAGGGTAGCACATGGCGAACAGAGGTGACTATCCATAAAAATGGATGAATGGGTGAACAATCTGGATAACACCTGTCATGGAGTCCTAGAGTAATTTATAAAGGAACACCACAAATAAAACATACTTCTCTTCCTTAGCTCCAGTTGAGCCATGCTTCCACACACAGTGATTCCATTCCATCTGCATTCACACTTAAACAGCTTTTTATGTGAACCAGTCTTAAGTCTAGTTAGTAACACAAAACAGAATGAAAAGGAGGGGGAAATCTTTTAAGGACCAGGTGACAGTTCTATGTCTGGCTTCTCACCAGACGGACACAAACAGGAAGTCAACCTAGTGTGTAGGAAAGCATCTCACTGTCTCACCTCCAGACGAAACCTAGAGACCATCGCACATCTAAGGAGCAGTAGGTGGAGATCCAGGAATGTTTGGGAAACAGAACAACAAGGAGAGTGGAGTTTCCATTTTGGCTCACCAGCGTAAAAGTGAAGTGAGCCTAAACACATCGGGTATTTGGGGGTTCCCCTCTACCTGGAATGCCTGAGGAGGCCAAGGTGTGAACAGGCAAGTGTGGGAGTGGGGTGCAGTGGACATTCCTAGTGGGTTGTGTTGGCTCCAGGGTGGCACTTACACTGGAGGAGTTAATGAACTGTAGCCTATTGA